GAGGGTGGCACGGGTCTACCCAACTCCTTCATACGTGGGGATGCTAGCTCCCTTCCAGAGAGGGGCGCCGAGAGAGGACGCTAGCAAGCGCCGCCTTTCCACCGGTAGGCCGCTCGTCGAGAAGGGGTGGAGGGACTTTGAAGAAGACACTTCGGAGGGTATTCTGTATCAGGCAAAGACGGGGCTCAATCCCAACTGGTGAGTGTGACGGACAACGAGGGACGATGGGAGAGAGGGAGACAGAGAGAGAGAGAGAGAGAGAGAGAAACAGACAGACAGACAGACAGACAGACAGACAGACAGACAGACAGACAGACAGACAGACAGACAGACAGACAGACAGACAGACAGACAGACAGACAGACAGACAGACAGACAGACAGACAGACAGACAGACAGACAGACAGACAGACAGACAGACAGACAGACAGACAGACAGACAGACAGACAGACAGACAGACAGACGGAGGACCCAAGGGCGGGGAGACAGGAAACGAAAGAAAACAAGAGAGAAAAAATGAAGGAAAATGGGGAGCTGAAGGTGCCATGGGGTACGATGTACCGGCCTGCAATGTTTGTGCTTTCTCTGAACCTTGGCTAGTCGTCGAACGAGAGAACAATGGGGCGTAGGGTAACTTGTCCTCAGTCTGAAAAGTACGCTACATCTGAGGAGACAGATCCAACAGCGAGCAAACTTGATACTGATGTCTTGATCTCTGTGCAAAGTATTTCACAGGGGTGTCGTACACGCGCTAAAATCTATGAATGGCCACTCCATGTCAACGGTGTTTCTTTGCTCTCGCTGGCTTGCTCTCCACAATGCCACCGCTCCAATCCACAACCATTGTGTTTGCTGCAGGAAAACCATGAAAGAGATAGCGCTTAACCGAGCAATACCTACAGCGGAGGGGTTGCCCGAGACGGCAGCGGTGTTTCTTGCTGGACTCGATTGTTCGAAGAGTGGAGGAGACGTATCTGACGACGAAAATGAGCCACGGGACCTGGAAACGTGAGAATTCGTGCCGCCGCCTTGTGCACAGTGGTAGTGTGACGCTGACGGCGATTCGAGGGTGATCTCTCCCTTCAGTCCGTGCTACCCCGGCCACATGTTTGCCACTACCAAAAACTGATGCATCGAAATAAGTGTAGCTAAACAAATGGTACATTGACCGGGTTGGACGGCTTTTACGTATTGCTATGCAGCACATGTCCTGTACAACTCTGACCTTCTTTTTTGTACGAGGTGTTGAGCGGCGAATGCAAGTGCCTTGTGTGGGCCATGTAGACTTCTGTTGTTAAGAACGGTTATCTGCAATGGCGCCTCCAACTGTGCCAGCCCATCCCCCTCCCACCCCTGCTGCGCACGCCGCCGTCTTGAAACAAAGAGAACGACAGGAGGAGGAGGCCACGCTCATGCGGCGGAAATGCGCGAAGTCTATCTACGAGTTGTCCACCAGGTACGTGCCCTTTCTTCCTACCGACAGGGCCACGTGGCCGACAAATGAACGTGAAAAACTACAGTACACGAATGAGTTCCTACTGTATTTGACCCCACGAATCGCTCGGAATGTGGAGAGGATAGACAATGGTTGTAATTAACTCGAAAAAACAAAAAAAATAGGTTTAAAACCAAACCCACCGTTTGCCCCACAAACCCCCTCGTTCTTCGCACGCGACCAAACCCAGGGCTGACAAGGGGCCACTGCTAATCGGGAACGGAGTGATTCAAGCTTTGTCGGCTCTCAGTTTGGTGCGTGCCCCGCGAAGTGTGTCTTCATCTTTCTCCCACGCATATATACGGCGTTGAGCTGTTTGGCCGTACTCTCTTGGGCAGTCCACAATAATTCCCGTTGAGTGTGGTGGGCGGCAAAAGTTCTAGAGTTTCCCTATTATTGCATTTCCGCTCGCGGACACCCACGCCGCATCTAAATCGTCCAAACAGCATACTACTGTACTAGCTGTGTTTGTTTGTTTGACATTACCCTCCTGTTACTGCAAGAGGTGATCATACGCGCGCTATTGCTCATGTCAATTGCCGATGCCTCATGTCCGTAAACTCTTGCTGACGTGAATAGGTAGGATGGGCTGTCGGGGTAGGAACAAGTGCCGATGCGCGATATTGTGTTCGGCACGCTGGCTGTCACGCTGTAGCCCATCGTCCGAATGTGTCGTCAGCTAATGCACCACGCTACTCTTTTATTCATTCCGAAGCACCTATTTCTACGAAAGTAACAAGGCCAAGCGAGGATGGCGACCACGGCACATTGGCAAGGTCTTGCAAGGAGATTGTTGTTGCAGTCACACTGTTCAGTTTCGACCCTCGACCTTGTGGGGTTGACGATAGGATGTGCACATCTTCTGTCCCCTTTCGCAGGCTTCCCTTACAGCAGGCAGCGCACGTGCTGCCTTGTGCCTGCCCGTGTGAATGATCCGTAGGCAGATGGCTCGTTGACTGCATGCGGCGTTCTCAACACTGCCTCGACAAGCTCCTCCAGCCACCACAAACCACTCGCCAAACCTTGCCATGTCCATACGTTGCCGTCTCATCCTTGGTCTTGCGTTTCTTGACTTGGTCATGGTGTACTGTACCTTTTTGGGAATGGTGATGGTGTGCCTCTCCTCGGGCATGGTGTACTGTACCTGTTTTGGGAAGGTGGAGGATCCTCGGACGAGTCGGTATGTCGGAGCGTCGTACGTCAATATCGCCGCGCTCGGACGCGAGGTCTGCGTAGACATGCTGAAAAACCAGGTCAGGATCGTTGCTGTTGTTCTCTGTTCATTATTGTTAAACCAGCACTTACAGCACCCGGCGGGATAGGAGGCCCAATTACATAAGGTTTAGGGTTAGGGTTCCTCTCCTGGAGGCCCCCTACCCACCCCTCCTCTTACATGCCTGTTCGTTGCTTGTTCGGGTTTATTTATCCCTGCGAGCTTCTTGAGCACATGTCGGAAACTTTCGAGGAGTCTGTTCCTCACGCATTTTCCGAGGAACAACCCCTGTTCCAACTGTGCGAGCATTCTGATGTTCAAGTCTAACGTTTAAATTTAGGGGCTCTTCAGAATAGAGTATTGAGCAATCTTGAGTATTGTGTCAAGTTGGCGCTTTGCATCTCGGCGACGAAGGTGGTAGTTAACCGCTGTTGGTTGTCGTCATGCCTCATGGTCGATAGGGAAGAAGGAATGCTCTACGGCGAGGATGTTCGTGGCACGAGCAGGTTGGACTGCAACCATGTTTTCCACTAGGATTGTCCTTGTCGTGGGGCGAAGCTGGCTGTCCCCGACTTCTTTGATGGGATGTCGAAGAGCCGTGTCCCGTTGTTCATAAAAAAATGGTTTTCATAGCATGAGAATGTTTCGATCGGATAATCCGCAGGTGGTGCGATGCCTTCATCGCCTTTGGCAAAGGGCCTACTCTCTCGCCCACTGCAGGCGGACAAGCGACTTAAGCAGCGTCAGCAAGGGCTCAAACAGTAAGGACTCAAACAGCAAGGACTCAAACAGCAAGGACTCAAACACGAACGGTGGCGGGTCCGCCACTTCCGCCCCCTCGGTAGTCTCGGAGACAGACGAAGAATGGAGGTGAGAACACACTTCCGGGGAGTTCCTTGAGACGCTACGCTGGACAGCATGTGAGAAGAACCATGCTCGTTCCCAAGACGATTTCCTTGAGGCGAGAGTAGTATCGAAGAGTTTGGTGCTTGTGACGTTGGTGTGTGCCAGGCGGATATCCTCGCATTCGGAGGCAACGAGCTTCTTTGTGATTCCTCTCTTTTCCGGGTGAAGATTCAGAACTAGGCGAGAGGGGGGGTTCCGAGATGACGGCGCACCTCTTCCAAACCGAGGCAGAACAATGAGCGACAAAGTATTAATTTCAGTATCCTGTTCCCTTTTGAATAATAATGATCTGAAACGTTTATCTACCGACTTGTTACACGTTGTTCAGTTCTGCACCGTCTGTGATCCCCAAACCTGGCACCTTCCAGGTTCCGAGTGTATGTTGGCTGAATTGAATCTTTGTGCGGCGTTTCAAGTTGTTATATTTGGAGGTAGTTAAGCACCACTGCCCGCCATCATACGCATTTCAAATCTCTCTTCATTCAAAGTCTCGATGGTATCCCACGAAAAAATCGTGCTCTTTTACGTTCGCCTCATTGAGCCATGACGCAATGTGTGCGTCAAACCAACAAATATTTGCTGCTTAGAGCTAATGTGGGCTCCATCACCAGCTCACAGCTCGCCATTTGTTCGTACGGGCTGTTGGGTATTTGCACAGCGTGCGACGGTGTGGGCTTGATGTTCTGGACCAAGCTGCAGTGGCTTTATGCCATCTCAGTGTGCCAATCGGGGCAGAGAGCATAATGATGCAAGAGAGGGGGATGGTGAGCGAAAGAATGGAGAAACATCTCTCATGTTCCATTCCAAGAATCCTTAGCTTCTCCACTGATAAATGAATTGATATGGTGTTTCAGCGCAGCTCATCTACATCAGAAGGAAGAGTCTACACCAAAGGATGCCGATGGAAAACGGCTACTAGAGTGTGATGGTATGCAGATATGCCTCTTTCAAGTTTCGTCGCATACCCAAGTTGCTCTCAGTCCTTCTCCACTCCACCGTCCTTGATAGTCTGTACTGCTGTTTGCTCTTTTTATCGTTCCCATTACTCGTGTTGCCTTCGCTCGCGACTTAGGGTGCGATCATGTGGTACGCGAGAGGCGACCACGACAACGAGCAGCTCAAGGTGGTTGGTCTGCAGTGCCTCGTTAACTTCCACCGAAACACGCCTAACGGGACCTTCCACGAGGCGATGTTGCCTTGCCTCAAGGAGCTAGGGCAGTCAGCCACCACCGGTATCCGCAGGTGAACGAAAAGACCAGTATTCCTCAGAAGGGGACCACGACTACTTGGAAATAGCGTTGGAGGCGTAGAATCTCGGAAATGTGAACTGTGGCTGAGGGCCCGTACGAACAATGCAGTCCAGGACGGTATCAGGACTATTTGGACATGAAGCAGGGTGCTGCGACTGTCGGGATCTGCAACGAGACCGAGTTTCGATGATGAGTACAAGTAGCGGAACAATTACTACTCCGAGAGAGGAATGAGATTTACTCGAGGAAAATACAGAAAAAAGAGTGTATCGCGTGAGAGGTGACGGGACGTATATCCAATTCTGGTACGTTACCTCCTCGAACCGGAAACAGTTGTTCCTGGCAAGTCCTCCTCTCGCTGCTGTGTTGTAGGCGCTTACATGTATAGACGTGCGGTGGGATCGCAGACAGCCACAACTAGCCTACCCGTGAAACAAAACTAGACTTACGAAGCATTGGAAACGATACAAGATGAGACCTCACAAATCACCAATGCAGCGGTTGCGGTCGTAAAGGGTAACGTGCAGAGCACGAGGGTTGTGTTGCCGTGATCATTTGTATATACGAAGTAAGCTCGATTTTCTCACATGCCCTCAGGTATACAGGACAAGCAATTTGTGCCCTCGGAGCCAACAAACATGGGGCCTCTCAGTTGCTGGCGGGAGGCGTGTTGACGATTCTCGCCAACTTATCGAAGCCCAACAATCTCACCCGCGATTGCGAGAGCGCTAGTGGCCATGACGAAGGAAGTGGTGGTGATGGCGCAGGAGGGGGGGGGATGGGAAGAGAAGGAAATCCTGCTGCTGCCGCCGACGGGTTGCTTCTTGGTGCGACGAATCTATCGTTTTCTCGATACTCCCTGCACGGTATTTCAGAGCCTTCTTGCATAGGTCAACGATAAAGGAGCCAGGGAGAGGGGAGAGGCAAAAGCGTGCGCATGCTGAATACATTTGCAGTTGCAGCCTACCGTACTAGATCAAAGTGCGGCGGAATGGCGACGGCGCGCTTGAGCAAGTGATTCCAAGAGAACAGCTTGTTGTGAGGACGTATGTGTGCAGGTTACTAATAGTCTCAAACGGTTTGGATCATTCACAGAGAGCTTTCGGAGCGTTCAATGGCTGTTTTTTGTACTGCTGTGTTGAAACATGGTTTCTCTCTGGCGGTGGTGACACTTGCCGAAAGGGGCCGCAAGTTGCAAGATGTACTCCCAAACACATCCTACAGTGCAGTCGGGCGCGAGCATGATAGCGCTCCGGTCGCCTCCTCGCCTGTTCTGCTGCCCTTGGGTTCTTTGCTTAATAGAGGTCGAAACCGACGGCGAATAAAATTGGGTAGACGTGCCTCCGCTGCCCGATATAGTGCTTGACCCGAACGCCATTTGAGGGTGACCGCTTCGCCATGGTTACAAGTAGGTTGAGCGCGACACTCTCATTGTGCCGTGATTCCCAGCGTTCTTGAAATCGGAGCGTTCACTATTTACACCATTCCAACGATCCGGTGAAGGCCGAGCCTCAACTTCAACAGATGAACGTGTTGTCGTTTTTCCTCATGGCCACTCGTCCCTTCCCCCCATCCCCGTCGCCTCATTTTCGTCCTCTCGACATGGTGCCTGCCGTTCTTGTTCGTTTTGGGTTTGCAGAGGCATTCGCCCACGCGGCGTCCAATCTTACCGTCGCCAACGCTGAGTTCGTCAGACAAGCACTCATTGCTCCGGCCACCGTTGCCGAGGTTCTGGAGATCCTGTATTTAGGCGGTGATGGCGGCGGTGGCGATGGCGGTGGTGGAAGCGTTGGGGCGATGAAAAGCAATGCTAACGTTAGGGGCAACAAGAGGGCTGCGGCCTGCAGACTTAACAGCGCCAGGGTGCTCAGGTCCATCTTCAGCGAAGCTGACGCGTCTGATGTAGCAAGGTGAGGGTTAGCCTTGACCTATCTCGTTTCCTACTGTGTCTCCCTTTCGAATAGCATCGACCGCACAAACCACCTGACTAACGAAGGGTTGTCATATTGGTAGTGTTCACTATGCAGAAAACAGCCAATTATTCCTCTATCAGTGGGGTCATTGCGACTGGAAACTGGCCTTGGGAGGGATGCAATAACGTGATACATGTTATTTAGGGGGAATAAGTTTCCTGCGTGGTTTGTGTCAGGCAAGCGGTGTAGACGCGCCAAGGTTTGTAAAACAGGCTCCCTTGGATGTGTGAGGTTAGCGAGATGATCGTGTCCGTACAGAATTTGCCAAGCATCCCTTTTCAGCGATAAATGCTGTCCTCCCACCATTTGCCTACAACTTCGCAGTCTTGCCTAGGTGTACTGTACCACGTTGGTTACTTCGACACGGTGCATGTCCGTTGATACAACCCCCTTCGGTTGCCAAACTTGGGTGTTACGCGATTACCCATGAACACCCTGGATTCGTCAAGTCCGTCGCCCTGAAAATTGGGGGAATGTATGCATATATGTACAGCGACGTTAATGGTACAACACCTGAACCAAGAACATAGAAGGAATGACATATAGCCTATTTCTGATGCTGCCCCCCAGGCTAGTCCAGCTTGGCTTTCTGCGAAAGACGGGGCAATTCTTCGGTCAGGCCGCGGCTCAGAAGGACCCCAAAGCGCAACAGCTCCTTGCTCACAGCGTGTGGCACTTGAGCGCAACGCTGACAGACGTCAAGCCTCTCGAATCGCAGCCGCCGCCGCGCCCGCACCCGCACCCGCACCGGCACCCGCCGACCGATAGCGGCAGCCCCGCATTCACAGGAGAAGCCATCTCGGCGCTCTCGATGGGGGGGCTTCAGCAGCACCAGCAGCAGTACAAGGGTGTCCGCCGACGCTCTTCGTCGAACTCTGTTCTTCTTCCAGGGCAGGGCGAGAGCACAACCACAACGGCGAAGTCGTCAACAGCAACGGCGGCAACAAACAACCAAGGGGCGGCGCGAGGTGTCTACGGGTCACGGAATCGCAGGCGTTCCTCCGGCGGATCTTCTGTCGTGAGCGTTAGTGTATCGGAGGCGAACACTGTCAGGTCTTCTCGCGCGAGTGTGCGGCCTGTTGACAGGGCTAAAGGATCCATGATACTGCGGCAAAATTTCCCGGGGGGGGCTCTTTCCGCAGCACGAGGCGGGCTGGTAGGGGGGAGGAAACTTGTGAGAAGAAGATCTTCGACATTAACGGAAGAAGAAGGTATGTATGTGTGTCATGGCAGTACGTATATCGGTGGAAGCAGGGTTCATCTGCTCACGAGACACGTAGCCTTTTCGGTGCTTTCTCGTTCGGAAAACTCAGAACGTTTTTCGACGATGGAAACGAGCATGACACTCATTGTGCCGAGAATAAAAACTATCGCTAGAAGGAGGGTGAAACGTTTCTGAGTAAGTAGTCACAGATAGGCTTCAAACCCTGCAAATTAAACCCCACCGGGGAAGGGTTCGGTGCGCGAATTCTGTAATGAATCAAACCCGTCGATAACAAAACCCTCCGCACTTCTTTACCCCCGGTGTCTGTCTGTGTTGATTACATTCTTTTCTGGTGGAAATGTACCGGCGGTGGCGCTTCTTCTGCACACAAAGAGTCTCTTTCGGAAACCTCGAGCCATCGGGGGGGGGTAGGTTTGGAGGGGGGGGTGCCGAGCGCGTTGGGATCAGGATTGTCGCTGGACACCACGTCAGGGGCTGCGGACTCAAGCCCTTCAGAAGTTGATGAAAAGGTGATCAACCTCACCCAGACAAGCCCATTGCATGAGGAATGTTGTTCGGCTTTTCTGCGGCATTAACGTTACAAGATACCCTTCCCGAAGCAAATCCCAGGCTGGAATTTCTCTAGAGGACTCAACAGCAATCTTTCTGCTGGGATATTGTACTGTTAAGAAAGTTCGTGGATGAGCAACCCACAACACGAGACACCGAACGCTGCCACTGCCAAACGGATCCAACTCCGTTTCTAGGGCTCAAAAAGTATATCCAAACGTTTCATCAGGGATAACTTGGCACCGCAATGTCGGGCGCAACAAGAATCTCCTCTATATCTCAACCAGTCACACACTGGTTATGTTCACGCACATTGGTGCAGATATAACGAGGTACGGGTGGATCTATTGCAAGTCAGTCGCGTCATGTCCGCACCTCTTGACCAGTTTTCACACTCACTCCAGTTTCACATCTGCCTCTCGTTCCATCAAGAAGACGAAGCAGAAGAGGGGGCCAACCTGTGCCGGTGCCCGCTGTCCCTATACGTACGCCTTTTGTTTCCCACCAACACCAACCGTGGGAGCAGGGGCCGCATGTGGTGGCGTGCGGTGTTATGCACCACCTGCTGCGGCTAGCGGAGTCCGGAACCACCGGATTTGTCAGGCAAGGGAGTCATAAACAAGCGCAAGAAGGGGCCGTGCGCAATTCAGACCTATGAGCTTCTGGGGGGGGGGGGGGGGGGGAGGGGGGGGGG